CATTCAATCATTGGACAGTTATACTACATATTGTTTAAGATTTGAGAGAACTAACATTGATCACATGAGAAGCTGTTTACTATAACCTGTGATTTAGAGTCTTCTGATCCATGAAGCTTTTATTTTGACAATTTGACTGGAATGGTATTAAACCTTAGTATTTCATATACATGAAATGTTGTCCCATGTCACATATTGTCCCCTTTTCTAACTGAACACCTCATGTAGAGATGTAAAGGTGTGTTAATCTATGGCTCATACCAGATTGTTTGCCATAAATCCCAAAAGGCTATTGATGTATGAAAAGCATTTTCTATAAAGTAAAAATGTCTTCCTATGTATGCAGATAAACCTTGAAATTTGGAAAAAAACAGCAAAGTATTTTTCATGATCACTAGGTAATTTTTCTGATGATCAGTATAATTTCTAATCTAAATTATTTCAGATTTACATTTAAACAAGCTTTGATCATATGAAAAGATATTTATCATAACCAGTAAGCATGACACATTAACCAATTTTAACATTAATGTAATTATATAATTAAAGACATGTTGGTTACATTCTGTTTGTATATGCAAATACAATGCTACTAGTGAATGCTATATAGCACACCTTGCTGAAGGTAATAGTCAAGTGAAATGCCTAATAAACATTTATGGCATGAAGATGTCCTTAACTGCAAATTTTCACTCTGATAATTTTTGCTTAATCTTTGGCAGAAAAAAATTTTGAGTTTTTTCTCAAAAGGTGAATTTGCTGGCACTGATGTGGAGATGGGTAAAAGGTTATAATAAACTTGCATGGTTTGAAGTCTGAGCTTTTCTATATCTATGAACTGTCACTTGTAGTAACAAATTTCTAACTTAACTCATTACATAGAGGCTTGAATGGGGGTTTCTAGGGGGGGGTCTATGCCTGACAACTTGGTAGACATTTTTAAAGACTATATCTGTTTTTGAATAACATTGATGTAAAATAAATTTTACGTTCCTAGACATGCTAATGAGCCATATATTTGGCATGATAATGAGCCTAAATAATTGGCAAAACATTCAAGTATTGTTCACTTCATTTTTTTTTTTTGAAAAAAACGTAAGCAAAATGTGTTGTTTTTACGCAAAAACGATGCCCACAAAATACATTTTCTATTGTTCTAAAACGCTAAAAATGGCATTTTTAAGGCTCTGAAATTCAAAATTTCTCAAGGGTGAATGCCTCAGACCCCCCCAGGTGCGGAGCGCCTCCGACGTTTTGTGACTGATGTTTAAAAAATCCTAGATCCGCCCCTGGTACGGTACAAAGTTTTCACAGAGAGTTTTTTGTTACAACTGCCTTTGCTTTTTTTTCAATTCTTCCCAAATTTCCGACTCATTGAATAATACAAGATGTTTAAAAAACGAAGAAAAAATGAAAAGCGTAAGTTTGTAGTTATAGCTAGTTACAAAATTTTGTGCTCCATGCTGTATAATCTTTCGCGTTTCCATTGAAACTAAGCCACTTAATTGTTTGACCGTCTATTTTTAATATCCTGGGCTTATAACCTGTAAACTTTTAATGGAGTTTTGCGCTATTTAAAAAAAATAGCATTTAGATAACTGACAATACAACTCGGCCGATTCACCAATAACGAGAGGTTGTTCGATATAAGACTCCCAAATAACTGGAGATTTTTCGATAAACGTTTTGGTTACGTGTCACTCTTATGTTCTTATGTATCAACAATAACAATGCATACCTTGAATATACTAATGTATCAATATATAAACTATTTCAACTTTTATTAGCGCTGATGTATGATTATTGTCTTGATTTTTTTGTATAGTATTCCTGAGCTTCATATTATATTAATTAATATTTAATGACGTAGAAAACTGACATTTGGCTTACATCTAATATATTTTCAATTATTTTCGTAAATTGTACATTTTCCTACTGAAGCACGTTCAAAACACTAAGATAAAGATAGAACAATCCTTTACAGATCATATAGTCGTCGGTGATCTCTGCACATACAGCGTGAACTTTGAGTATTGATATTTGATAAAGGCAATACAGGTATCTGCGTCAGAGTAAATTAATTTCAAATAGATCGATATCACTCTACATATAAATACATTTATTCTTTGATGCAATCTTTGCTATAAAGACATTTGCTACATAATATCCTTCTATAAAGCTTATGCAACTTGATCCAAAAAAGTTAGAACATGATGGCTCACTAACAAAATACAAGTTAGCCACAATCAAACACGAATGTTTTACTTTTTCATTTCCTCAAATTAGTGGTAAATTGCGACCTATATTTTTCCAATAAAAGGCAATTAGCAAAATTCAAAACATTCATAATTTGCAGATGTAACAAAGGTTTGTTTACATAAGGGCACTGATGCTTATAGAAACGGCAGTGAGGACATGAAACAATTGAAAAGTAAGAGACAATAGAGACAACATATCTAGAATGCATTGTATATGATATCAAATGTACAAAGGTAATATCATTTGCACAAATATATTTTTACAGCCCAATATTGCGCTAGTATGTATAAGTTTGCCAATATATCTTGCAAAATATTTAGTGCATGGTTTACACATAAATTGTAAAATATTTTTTGCATATTTCTTAGAAGCCACTATCAAACCACATCCAAATGCGTTTATCTTGTTCGTCACTGTGTTACTACCTTTTTTCATCTCCAGGAATTCAGTAATTCAATTTGCATTACCGAAGAGATTGTCAGTTAAAACGTCTCTCATTTTTCAATTCTATTACATATTGATGAGTCTTTCAGTTTTATGTTTTCATAAACATGGTTAAAAGAAAATCCAGAACAGTTAGGAAAACGTGTCAAAAATGATCAGCACGCAAGATCGGAAAGAACTTTTAGTGTATTAGGTAGTTGAATTTCTAATAGCTTGTCTACGAGTAAATTTTGGCAAATCATTAAATGTCTCTCATCAAAACAATATCTTTAATACTCCTTTGGCATCTTTTCTCACTGAACACATAATAATGCAGTAAATTATACTACTTATGGTGCCACATAGATGTGGTACCCTATCATTAAAATTTTTTCGCAAACGTTTAAGAAATTTATATCTTTTTGCGTTGATATGATACAAACGTTATCCAATACGCCCTGGATGTGACTTCACGCACGCCATTCGTCATCGTTAATTACCTTCTCATATTTACGGTCAATAGAAAAAATGTTTAAAATCCGTAAATTAAAATTCGCTCAAACTCCACAAACATAAAACTTTTCAGTTATAAAATATACTGCAAATTTTCTTAAAAATCTGTAATCTATTAAAACATTGTCAGCTTTAAAATATATCGCAGGAACTTTATTTTTTTGTCGTCTTTAAAAAATCAACATAATATGTCTCTCAAGCTTTAGTGAATTTCCCAAGATAGTCAAATACACACGTGCTCATAGTTTGACAATAATAAGTAGCTAATTAAAACAGTACTTGACATTTATTTTGATATGTCACATATTTTTTTATACTCATTTTATTAATGTGTTTATGCAATTCGATGAGCGCATTTTTATTTGTATGTAAGTTTGATTTTGTAAACCACCTTTAAAAAGTTATTTTCGCGCTATCCGTTTATTTTAACTTCACTTTGATGTAATTGTACATTATAGTGTATAGAAATTTTTAAAAGGTTTCTTGACATATCAGTAATTTATCTATCGTATACTAATTTACTAATTTTTCTTTAGATAGACATTCATATGAAATGTTTTTGCATTCTCTTTATCGACTTTTATGTCTACCTGATGTTATCTTTATGAATGGCAATGTCCAACTTTATGCTCGCCATGGGTCGCTGCCATCAGACCTCATTATGAGAAACATCACTTCTTCAAAGATTGATGAATGTCTAGAACAATGTTTAAAAGATTGTTCATGTTTATCATTTCAACTTTGTGGTACGGCGAGTCAACTTCTTTCTTCCACCATAACTGACGAGACAAGTAACAATGAGAAAAGTCAACGTCAACATTTCACAATGAAAATATTGAAGAAAAAGTTAAAAATATTACATTAAAATAAAAATGTCCCTGCCTGAGCGATATTGCTGGATGATAAAATAGTTAAATGAGGAGTTCTTGTTATTTTGTTGCTTTTTTTTGCTGTAGGGCTGTAAAGACTAGCATCCAAATCAATTACTAGAAACTAAGTTTAGAAAAAACAACTGTGAGCATTGCAATCTTAGAAACAACTTATTTAAAATGCTGTGAGCAAAATTATAGCCCGATCTTCAATTGAAAAATTTTTTAAGGATTGCAAAAGCTTTGAATTTATCAAGAATTTCCTACACTGCCTCTCAAATTATGACATGAGCTAATCTTCCTTTTTTTATTAGAAAATATGTGTAGCATTGTTGTCATGGAACTGCGTGTTGTTAAGTATATACATCAACAATTGTAGACAATATAGTATTAAGGTGGAGAAATTGCTGCTTCTTTCCATTCATCATTAGCAAAAGCAAAGTGATTCATTAACCAATGAACTTGTTTATTACGTGCGTAGGAATGTAAATAGAGTCTAAATTGCGCTGCAATAATTTTTTAGTGCCCAATATATCCGCCTCTCAAAGTGATTATATAAATAAGTCGTGAACGTCGTTAAAATTATATTTTTTTCTTTATGCATTTAAGTATACACGTACAAATTGTAAATACAGTTGTTTGCATCTCATTGTCCCGTTAAGGTACATAAATACTAAAATGGTAACCTATATCTGCAAAATCATAACATGTATACGTTTTCTGTCTTTTTAGGATAATTTAAGCTACCCTCACGGCACATGTCATGTGAAAATAGATTGCTGTTTTCCATCAAATTACTGAAATAGCAACGGAAAATGTCAACTATCAACCTCAAGTTCGAGTGAAGTCCGCGCCTTTGCGAATGTGAAGAAGGATTTGTAGGTAAACGTTGTGAAAAGAAAGCAAAGTCTTGTCAAAATTTTCTTGGTCGTTCAAATGGTTGGTATCAAATTTTTGCAAATGAAAGTAAAATGGTTAAAGTTTGCTGTCAGTTTGATTCTGCGCATGTTTGGACATTGGTTATGTTATACAGCTTTAAATTACGTGCTCGATATGAATATGAACCATTTTACAAAAAACTTTCCTCGAAATGAAACAAATGAAACATGGGAAGATCACAGACTTTCATTTGATGCAATGATGAGTATAAAAGAAGGCGGAAACACGTTATGGCGTATCACGTGCTCATACGGTGACAAAGACTGGAATAAAACAGATTTGGTTGTTGCAACCCATGAAAAAGTACCAATTTTGGAACAGAAAAATAACGCTGCCGTTTGCCTAAATGTCAGTTTTATCGATATCAAAGGCTACAACTGTACAAATTGCAGCATTCCTTTCTGGCAAGATGACGAACATATTTTTCATACAGACAATACCCATGTTAAATATATATGCAATCTGAAGAATTTCCAATCATCAGGCTGTAGCAATAGTGATGGTTATAGAGGAGAAGATAATTTTGGATATTATGTTTGCTATGTAACTACACATCGTTGTGCGTCATCAGATAATGCCACAACACAATTATGGTTTGGTGAACACATAAATTCGAACTGATAAGTACAATGTACGACTTTTAAGTTAAGCAAATTGTAAAAAAATTAAAATGGTCGTTGTTGACATAAAATTTCAAGTAACTACAGCTATTTATAGAAGAGACAGGCATTATTTAAAATATTTAGTCAATCGTATTATTAGAAATTAGAATTCTATTTTGCCAGTGTAAGTTTACTGTAGACATAATTATTTAATAAATTATAGGGATAGAAGAACAGACGAATTTTGAAAAAAATTGAAGTAAACGATCGAACAGTTACTTTGCCTCGCAAGTCAAACACAAAAGTTTGTCTGACCAATAAGCTTCTTCTGATAAATTGATTAATTAGCTTTGTGTTTTTTGTTTTTTTCTTTAGCGAATTGTACCTGTCAAAAATCATGTTTTAATAATTTCAAAAAATCTTTGACATCATCAGTTGGACTTTTTCACAGAGGAAAATAACCATAGATCTTATACTTGCACGCATAGAATCGCATAGAAAACGATTATACAGAAGGGTCTCTTGTGCGAAAAATTAGATGTTTTTGCCCTCCACAGGTTGTGCTGCACACAAAGGTTGACAATATTGGTGGAGTATGTCGTTAGAGTCGCTTTCTCTTCCGAACCTTTAGATAATACAAAGAGATTCTTAAGCCAAAATGTTCTAGAGTTCGCTGTTCATAAATGACGTCATGTAAATTTAAATGTTCGAAACAAGTGACAAATCCTAATTAAACGGCTGGAGTAATTGCCTACGTAATTTTTGAAAGAGCATTCTGTAAAATAATTATTCTATGCTTACATAACTTTATTAGGTCAGTATTAGAAACTAAGCTTGAATAACCAATGTCATTGTATGAGCAATCCCCCAGTCGGAGTTGTTCTTTTTATATTCTGCGCAAGCGTGTACGAAGATTGAATGTTGAGCACGATGAAACTACGAGCTGAGAGGTATTTTACTGAAAATCAATGATTTTGAGGTTTTTAAATACAATTTATTTGACATAGTTTATCTTCCATCAATTAAATAGAAATTATTTGAAAATTTTTAAATTTTTATCGTGTAGAAACTCAATATTTCATATCTATTTACGAATGCAAAATAATAAGTAATATCAAAGAATAATGATTATAGAGAAGGGACACTGAATTGTGCACACTATACCATGGTCTCCACTGTTCCAGCAGGATACTTTGGGTTTTTCACTTTTTTTTAGCAACTGCAATAACATCAATCCTGTATAACTTTGTACATCACCTAGCTTTTTTCTGTTCATATCCAAAGCAAACTATCCTGCACTTCGTCTTTCAGACGTTTGTTCTTAAATTATATTTACGTTTTTTATGACACTATTATAATCTGAGAGGGAGTGAATGCTAAATTTCGGAAAAAATGAATTGATACCTGATTCCAAATAATGTTGAAACTGTCCTGTAGTGTCTTTACTTAACAACATAGCAATTTAACATGAATAGTATAAAAAAAGTTAAGATGCTTTGGCACATATAAGTGTTTCTTATTAACATATATGAGTGTCTCTGATATCTCTTACTGTATTCATTGAAAATTTATATGACAATATGATATCTTTTATATGTTTGTTGGTGTAGATCGTCCAGGTTAGTAGAGTCCTGAGAATGACTGTCGGTATTGATGTAGACTGACGTTTCGACAACATTAGTAGAAATAGTGTTAGTTGCTTGTTTTTTTTGTATTGTGAATGGGTCCTTTTTAAGATGGTGGTAGTTGTTGTGATCTGATCAGGGGTTTTTCTTCTAAGTTAACCTATTAACTTTGTAATGAAAGTCGTTGTCCATAGTCAGTGCTGTAAGTAATACATTATCCCGAGTCCCAGTCAATGTTGTGGTTTGTCAGTCCGTGATGTCATTGGTTTTGTCCTGTTTCTTTATAGCTCGTTTGTGTTCGTTAAGTCTTATATTTATGTTCCTGCCAGTCTCTCCGATATAGGAATCTTGGCAGTCGGATTCCTATATCGGAGAGACTGGGTTGTAGTACAGCATTTATTTGATGAACACTGAGCTCTTCTCACATGCACTCCACATCAGAGGTGCTTCACTTAACCAATGCTGGGATTGTATAGATGACATAACACTGCCAGTTCTCAGAACCATACGATGTCAGGGAATTATGTGCAGAGGTCACAAATGAAGTCACTGCATTAAATTTCATGTTTTCATTTAATGACTTAGTTCTCGTTCAAATTTGTACATACGAGTCTTCACTATTTGAATGTCATCACTTTAGCAAGCTTGGCTAGCTCAGTCGGTAGAGCATAAACTCTTAATCTCCTGGTTGTGGATTCATATACTTTATTTTACTGAGAGGTAATGCAATCATAAAGCGATAAGTGGTATTTTGAAGAAGATCTTTGCTTTTCGTGCCAAGACAGGAAGATTGCTAAATTTTAAATGCACCTTGAAATATCCATTATTTCCAGTGATGCTTAGTTTAGCAAGTGTAGATGGTTCCCGAAAACGACAGCTATAAATATAAACTATAATGCAAATCATAGCAGACAAATGCAGAGGACCAGTAAAACATTCAAGAATTGCTAACTACCAAACGGTTCAGTTGCAACATATATAGTTGATTTCATTGCAAGGCCCTGAAATAACAACTGTGTAGTCAGTAACTTATAAAGATTTAACTTGGAAATTTGTTGCCTTTTGGATATAAAAGTTTTTACATAGTTTCTGATACATATCTAAGTATATCCATCAAGCCCAAATGAAGGATATAAGAGAGAAAGAATATTTAAAACAAATTTTTCATTTTTTGATATATATTTGTAAATTTAGGAGCTAAAATTATTGTTATTGTTGATGCCTAAGGACACGGGATGATGTTAGCTGGATGTCACGAGATCAGGACGTATTATAAACGATCGTGTCATTATATAGTTATTATTGTGCTCTACTACAACCATGTTGCATTGGCACTAATCAAAGATAACTTTTCCTTCTTCAATTAACGTAAAAATGCCATCAGAAACTAACATATTATGTACCCAGGTTCCTGAAGATGGACGGTCAAACAACTAAGTGGCAAATGCTGAATATTATACAGCATGGAGTACAAAATTTACGGCTTTGATGCAAACGAATGGGCTGTTCAAATCGTTATTTGGCGAGGAAATCACACCAGAAGAAATCGCTCCTTTAACTTCCGAAGCGACAGCTGATCAGTTTAACAAATGGCCATATAAGATAGAGGACGATACAATGAAATTGAAGCAATCGACGAGCGAAATAACAGCGTTTGGTGTCATATTGTGTTGGCGCTTGACAAAAAGTTTCTGTATAATTGACATAATTGTTTTCCCCAAACTAGTGGTTTAAGGCACTGGTTGTAAGTGCCAGTCATCAAAGTGGCATGGGATCGAATCCCATCTCTACCAGCACGTCTTAAATTTAAGAGTTCATTTAGGAAATTTCAAAAAAAAACCTTATGCAAATGTGGAAATTTTACGTGAAATAAGAAGGATGACAATTCTTAATTTTTATACATTTATGGCATCATAGTTTGAGGAACTTTTACAATTGTGAACAGCAATTACGAAAATTGATATTGTGTATCACATGACTTTGTCATTCTATGTTATAAATGGTCGTAGTGAACACGGTTTTTGCTTTTTCTACATAAGTAAGCAAGTAAAATTTAGGTGTTGTTTTCGTGTTCTTTAAGAAACTATTTTAAGAATAAGTGTCATATGATTACAACATCAGCAGTTTTTCATTCAGATAGTTTATTTAGAATTTTGATAAGGATATGTCAGATTTATACCCTAAATGATGTCGCATAAACGAAACGAAAGACATTTGCTACATAATATCCTTCTATAAAGCTTATGCATAGTCATCAACAAAAGTTCTAAAATGATGTCTCACAAACGAAATAAAACTTATCAACAATAACACACGTATGTTTTACTTTTTCATTTCCGCGTTTGAGTGGTAACTTGCGACACGTATTTTTTAATAAAAGGCCATTAGCAAAATTTAAGACATTCCCAATTCGCAGGTAGAAAGAAAAGTTTGTTTACATAAGCGCACTGATGCTTATAAAAACGGCAGTGAGGACATGAAACAATTGAAAAGTAAGAGAAGACGGAGACAACATATCAAGAAGGCATTGCATATGATATCAAACGTACAAAGGTAATATCATTTACACAAATATATTTTTCACAGTCTAATATTGCACTAGTATGTGTAAAATTGCTGATTGATTTTAGAAAATATTTAGTGCATGATTCATCTGTAAATTGTGAAATTTTTTTCTCATATTTCTGCGAAACCACTATCAAACCACCTACAAATGCGTTAATCTTGTTTGTCACTGTGTTACTATCTGTTTTTCAATAGTTGTTTCATCTCCAGCAATTTAATTCGTATTACCGACGTGATTGTCAGTTAAAATGTCTCTTATTTTTCAATTCTATAACATATTAGGAGTCTTTTAATTTGAAGTTTTCATAAAAGGGTTAATAAGCAATTATTGGATGAAGATAACAATGACTTCGGTCTAGAATTATTCAGACCGAAGTCATTGTTATCTTTCGAAGCGAAACTGAGGTGGATAACATTGTCCGAAGTCTGAATAATTCTTGATATAATGCAAAAAACGAATTCAATAGTTTTTTTTTATTCATTGAAGTATTATGAAAACATATCAATACAAAACATTTTTCAAACCTTCGCTAATTTGTTTTTGTCAGACGCGTTTATTCAAATTCATCTTGTTTAAAGTGGTTTTAAATGTGTTCAAAGCCAGCTTCACCGCTTTTTCTATTTAATTAAATAACCCTTTTAAGTTTGGAAGCTACAAGCAGCGGGCTGTCAAAATTACCCACTTTAATCTCACAAGTAAAGTGGCACACAAAGTCATCCGTATAAAATGCTTAAAGCAATTTGAAAAGTCGCAGAAGTTTTCCAAATAATTTTGCGTTTTTTTTTTACATAATCAACCCAAGCATTTTTACGATTATTAGCTTCTGGT